CCTCCCCTTTTTTGAAGCCAAGGGGCCAATGATAGCTGGCCCCGAAAATCATGTCCCAATTCAGGACATTCACCCAAGAATTGCCATAAATGGGGCGGTAGTCCCTATTTATGGAGCATGACAAACCCATTTCTTTGTTGAAAACGAGTTGTAGCATGTTAGCATTCTCCCTATCCACAAGAAATCACTGATGCCACCATCAAGGACAAAGTGGTTGCCCTGTTTGGGCGCAACGAAGCTTGATCGCATGCTTTCCAGCAGTCTGAAATTCGAACCACCAACGGTTTAGAAAGCGTTCCCTTGTTCTTTTCGATTTGTCAAAGAGCATTTGTTGCCTTTTGCAAAGTTCCAGCTTACAGCAGAATTGTTGTCATGCTGCTCAAACTCCCTGATGGTACACACCATTCCACTCGGGCAACATTGGCGTCCACACATAGACTGCAAACGCAATGAGATTGTCAGAAGTGTTCTACTCAGCTGAAAAGAGGTTATCGAGGAAGTCGGCCCAAAGTCGTCACATTTGGAAGTACCCTTCGGTACTCAAACATAATGGGAAATCCCCTATAGATGACCGCTTAAATCGGAAATCATCTATGAACGGTGGGTTTTCCATTGCCATCTTAGACGATGCCTCGCCTCCGAGGCATTTTTCCTGCAGAAGCCTGCAGCCTTTCACGACTCCTGCGCCACGTATGCGCGGACAGTCCCTCGTGTGATATACTGGACGAGGTCAAAATCATCTAAGAAACTCTCGAGAACAAGCTGTGAGAAACTTGCAAGCCTTCAAATATGAAGCCATTCATTGGCCTCACTGGCATTGTTTCACACCATTTCGGGCGCTGAGGCAGCTGTTCTACACCTCTTCCTCTGGTTCTTCGCAGGCCAGCAGAGGTGGAAAGTTCTGCTAGCAAATGCCATATTTCTTGCCGAAGAACCCAACATACTCGTGTAATTAATAAATCCCCTGTGAGTCCAAATCCTTCCATTCGAAATCCGACCCCTAACAATCCATTGCTCTCAAGCTCAGAGGACCCTTAGATCCATAGATATCCATAGGGTAGAGCCTGGTGTGGCCATGTTTGGGTTCCTAGACTCGATTCCAAGGGAGAAAAAAACAGAAACCCCGTTCGAACTGGGGGTGAAAACCATGGAATTTCAGCTATAGATATGTCCTCAAAATCCCTGAAACCAATCCATTGATATCCAAAATATCGTGGACTATCATATGTCGGTTATAGCAACCCCCATAAACATAAAAGTTGGCCGAATCCCACTAAATATATATATAGTGATAAAATGAAGCTGTTCTATCTTGGTGACGTCCAATGCTTAAACCAGTTCCATCAAGGGCCTGGAGCTTTGCTGTACCTACTGCTGGCAGAGGCCCATCGAGAGTCCCCGGGCACCAACGGGGTAAAACGATAATCGAAGAATCCAACTGACCAATCATTGGGATCCATTGATTCCAATCCGATTGATCCATCTGTCAGGTTTAATACCAAAATCTGTCAGATCTGGGATGATCAATATGATGATATGCGAGTTTTTCTACCCTCTGGTAATTTAACATAGCTATTGAAAATCACCATTTATAGTGGATTTTCCCATTAAAAATGGTGATTTTCCATAGCTATGTTAAATTACCAGAGGGTAATTATTGGGATATATTGGGATAGTAATGGATAGTACTGTAATGGACAAAAGCTATCTATGGGGAGAGTTTGGGATGACCATGATCATTTTCCGGAATCGTGATACCCCAAAAAGCCACCCTTGATGCGTAGCTAGCCCCTGTTGGTGATAGTTCACCACCACAGGTTAGCCAACCATCCCCAATTAGGGTTTTTTAAGTATACCTTTTAGTATGGCACTAGTACTGGGATGATTTAGAAGATTCAAAATAACTTCACATGGTTGGTTGCCAGGATGGTTGTTCATTGGATTTACCACATTGTTTATTTGATATGTTTACATGTTTTAGCGATGTATAAATTTCACCTGGCAACTGTATCGGATTTTTGCTTGTCTGCATTTCACTCCTGGTCAGATGATGTGTCCCCATCGAAACTAAGAGAACTGATGCCAGCAAACTATATTTCAACTGCATGTTTTAACACAATTCTGCGGAGTTACGTGGAGCCAAAAAGTTGAGATGACTTTGGTAGTTCTATGCGGAGAAACATAGTAAGTTACAGTTGATGCAACTGCATGCGTTCGCAGGCGTATGGATGCGCATGGATGCGTACGCTAGGTATAACATGATATACAACGGTTTGAAAAAACGCATCTTTATCTTGTTTTGGCACCATATATTCCCCTATGTTCAGGTGTTGATAGGGGCTTGGTATCGGGAGCAAAACACCAGGGGAGAACATCCAAGTCTGATTGGGCATCGGTTAAGTCCCCATTACATGATTAGGTTCCATTAGGGATTTTAATCATCAAAATTACAAGAATTAACTATATAATATATATTATATATATATATATCTCAAAATCAAGGCTCCAACCATCTGAATTTTGGATTTAACCATCGAATGTGGCATCTTTAACTATGAAAAGTATGGATATCATGGTGTTATCCAAGTTTTTTCGTGTTGAATTCCTCATTGAGTCGCATGTCTCCAGGTTGCCTGGCAGCTTCCAGTGCATCCGGCCTGCGCCATGTTCGTGGCCAGGAAAAACAAGGGATGGGCGAGGGCAACCCGCAGAAAAGTTTGAAAAGTTCGGGGAATCATTTTGGTGAATAATTAGTATCCTGACTGTCATTGGTATCCTGACTACCATTGGGTGAAGTTTGGAGAATATCAACAGTAAATATCATAGTGAAGGAATCATGATGGAATGATAACAACAATACTGAAAAATATTGAAAGAACGCTGATGATGGCAATAGTAATGATGATCTTCATCAATGTTCATCATCATGATAGTGGAAACAATGATGATAATAGTTGTTGATACTTGTAAGTTCACTACATGGTTAACAGTAACATCAAAAATGACGAGAATAAAGGTTGTAAGGAAAATGGTATTGATAGTGATAATGATAGTCATAGCGTGAATGAAAACGAGAATGAGAATTATGATAGAGGGAAGTTCACCTGACAACTCGAGACCAGTTTCACTGTAGATTGGTTTACAAAAGCGCTGTGAGTGTCAGCCACTGCTCAACAGTGCAATTCCTGTTTCAGTGATTCCTTCCATCCTTTTCGATTCCGCATGATTGTTTGATTCTCAAGCCCCCAGTCATATTCATATGCACTCATAATATCCCTATAGCACTTCTAATATCTCATAATATCCCTATAGCCATGGTTGCTAAACATCCCGATATGATATTCTCATGATTTCTCATGGTCAGTCAGTGATCTTCCCAGCCTAGGTGTCGAATCATGGCAGCGGCAAACGTCTGGACGGCTCCTGTGCCCCGAGTGCTTCACTCTACGTGGGCGAGTCCTGGGGATGGTTTGACTGGGTCGGGACTCCCAAGGGACCGGGTGAAGCAAGAGACCCCAAACAGTGTGGGGGGAGTGGGAGGATGAGGATGATGATGATGATGATGATGATGATGATGATGATGATGCTGATGCTGACGGTGATGGTGATGGTGATGATGATGATGATGGTGATGATGATGATGATGATGATGATGCTGACGGTGATGGTGATGGTGATGGTGATGGTGCTGGTGATGGTGATGGTGATGGTGCTGGTGATGGTGATGGTGCTGGTGATGGTGATGGTGCTGGTGCTGGTGATGGTGATGGTGCTGGTGATGGTGATGGTGCTGGTGATGGTGCTGGTGCTGGTGATGATGATGATGATGATGATAATGGTGCTGGTGATGGTGCTGGTGCTGGTGATGATGATGATGATGATGATGACGACGGTGATGGCGATGGTGATGGTGATGGTGCTGGTGATGGTGATGGTGATGGTGATGGTGATGATGGTGCTGGTGATGGTGATGGTGCAGGTGATGGTGCTGGTGATGGTGATGGTGCTGGTGATGGTGCTGGTGCTGGTGATGATGATGATGATGATGATGACGATGAGGATGAGGATGAGGATGATGAGGATGAGGATGATGATGGTGAATGATGATGATGAGGATGAATGATGATGATGATGATGATGATGATGATGATGATGATGATGAGGATGAATGATGATGATGATGATGGTGCTGGTGCTGGTGCCGGTGCTGGTGCTGGTGATAGTGATGGTGCTGGTGCTGGTGATGGTGATGGTGCTGGTGATGGTGATGGTGCTGGTGATGGTGCTGGTGCCGGTGATGGTGATGGTGATGGTGATGGTGAGGATGATGATCTGGTGTCAGCAGAGCTTCATGAATTTGGAAAGGGGGATGGATGTTGAGATGTTCTCGGGCATTTGGCATCTTGCAGTGAACAAAATGTTAGGTATGGTAGATCTTGGAAAGGGATTGCAAGGGCATCATGGGGTACAGTATCCACATCCTGACTCCCCAGGGCCAAGTTGACCGACAGACCGAGGTTTGCCTCTTTTCCAACTACCATTTGGAACATCATGACGCTGTGCCGCACATGTCCGATGATTGTAGAATTTGATTGTGACTGGTCAGGTTACCCCCAACATTGTGGCGGAAATTTGTTGTTCACGTTTTTGTGGAAGGATCAATCCTTCCACAATATCCTAGATGTTGGCAAATACCTTTGTAGCTGTAGCCACCGTGTGTGAAATTGAGTTTCATGGTCAGCAAACAATTCTGTGACATTTGAAAGTTGTCCACCTTTTTTCAAAAGGGTGAAAGCTCAGCTCAGCTGTGGTGGATTAAAATATGGTGGTCGTTTCCACCCCCCTGAGGGATGGTGGTTGAAGTTTGGAATCACAGTCGATGCGTTCGTTTTTGGTGGTTTCAGGGACCAAAAGCAGGACAACAAGAACAAACCTTGAAATTGTTAATTGAATTGAACCCAAGTTTCAAACTGTCCAACACTAAAATAAGTTTCCAACACCAAACTTGGGTGGTCCATTGAACCCATTTACTCTGGGTTGTTTGATGGTAAAAATATGCCAAAGCCTCAATTCCACGGTTTTGCCAACGCAAAGAACCCATAAAACCATGTAAAAACAACAGTGCAATGTGGATTTTTCCCATAAACAAACACAAAGATACAAAGAACCAAGTTTCATCCAATTGTGTTTTTCTGAAAATGGGGTACCCCTAAATCTATGTAGATCTCTTGCTTCATCATGTTTCATCATCACTTTCCCCAGCAAAACATGCCTTAAATTGAGGTATACTCCATTTTTAGACACATCCATTTACCAGATTCACACGCAATATGTGAAAGTAAAACCCGGTATTTTCCTAGGATGGCTACGTATAGTCAAAATGCAATGCCCCATTTTCAGACGCACCCCTATCATATTATCATATTGCTGATTATATATAGCTTATATATATATATATTCCATTATATGCACATTATATTCCCCCATATTTTGTTGCTTACATCTCCATGATGCCCTGCATCATCCGTGTTTAGATGAATGTTTCATAACATAACCATTCAGCTATTGGGGTACCCCCTATGGGCCCTATGACTTAAGAACTGCTCCCACTGGTTCCACAGGACTTTCCAGATATTCCACTGCTGAAGCTCCCGGAGCTCAGTCGCATCGCGCCCGAATTCTATGGACGTGAGGCGATGGACGCAAGGCGCCCAGGAAGGTGGGCGACTTCTTTTGTAACCTCAAAAAAGGGAGACAAATGGTATAATATGGTATAGATATTTATAGATGATATTGGCCTCATACCACAATTCTACAACACCTGATGGATTTCCAGGTGTCCAACTGTTCTATCTATTTTGGGGTTGTTTGCTATCTATTATTTAAATGAATCTTAAGATGCTGAGACAAATTTCTTAATTCAAGATCCATCCATCTGGTTTTAAGATGTTAAAAGCATCAGTTCAATGGTGTGAAACAAACCAGCTTGAACTGGTGGGGATCGAGAGAATTACAGATGTTGATCGTCTAATGAATGGAACATTCAAAGTCAGTATGGGTGATTGAAACATGTTGAAAACCAACATCAGCCATTGGCCAACCATCATGACTCATGTCCATGTCCGAAATGCTCTCTCCGCACTTCTCATTGAGGCTGAAGACCCAAGTCAAAGGCATTGTTTAGTGAATCGAATATGTCACTATTGTATGTCACTAGTTTGTTCAACTGGTCATGGTCATTATTCTTGGTGAAATCCCCACTGATTGGCTGGTAAATCCTCACTAAGGTCAAATTGCTTGTAACAATATATATATATAGCCTATTAATATCCCCATTCACAACCTAAAGCACCATTCCCCACTATATGCCTACGTACAGTTAATACCCGTTGAAATTTTTGTTACTAAATCTGAGGCCTCAGGGCCGTTACAGAATGGTTTTTGGCTACCATTTTGCGCAAAATTTTGACCCTGGGTTCTGCCATCTTGTAAGTGGGCCCCCCCCTGGTACCGGAATTTTGCATTGGAAGTGCGAGTTTGTTACCCTCCAGTCCCGACCATTCTGTCGGAGTCTGGAGGGCTAATCAATAACCACTACAAATTGGATGGATTCAAAGCGTAAATGGATAATACTCAACTATAGCCCCTACAAACTGGATGGAATCAAAAAATCAGAATAATTTTCATAGCCTTGGGTGCAGGGCTTGGGAGAGGCCTTGAAAAGTCTGATGCGTCTGAGTGGTCATGAATGCTCGAGATGAGTCACATCTATTTAAATAAATATATATATAATATATATGTATATATTATATATATATTATATATATATATATATATTATATTATATATATATATATCGATATTTATATTTTTTGATTATGACATCCAACGTTGGATTTAATGTTTAGCTTGGCCACTCAGACAGCGTCACGCCAAAACAGACGGATGAACGCAAAAGAACGGAAAAAATGAACCGCGACTCGGGTTGGCCGGGCTGTTGCAGGTTATTTCCCAGGGATCCTAGGATAGTGCGAGTATAGCCACCCCCAGTCCCCACCATTCTGTAAACGGCAAATCGAGCCAATGGATGCGAGCGGATGCGAGTCGAGCAAAATCGGTGACTCATTTTGTAACTAGGGGTCAGATAATATATATATATATATCGATATATTTATATTTTTTGATTATGACATCCAACGTTGTATTTAATGTTTAGCTTGGCCACTCAGACAGCGTCACGCCAAAACAGACGGATGAACGCAAAAGAACGGAAAAAATGAACCGCGACTCGGGTTGGCCGGGCTGTTGCAGGTTACTTCCCAGGGATCCTAGGATAGTGCGAGTATAGCCACCCCCAGTCCCCACCATTCTGTAAAGGGCAAATCGAGCCAATGGATGCGAGCGGATGCGAGTCGAGCAAAATCGGTGACTCATTTTGTAACTAGGGGTCAGATAATATATATATATATATCGATATATTTATATTTTTTGATTATGACATCCAACGTTGTATTTAATGTTTAGCTTGGCCACTCAGACAGCGTCACGCCAAAACAGACGGATGAACGCAAAAGAACGGAAAAAATGAACCGCGACTCGGGTTGGCCGGGCTGTTGCAGGTTACTTCCCAGGGATCCTAGGATAGTGCGAGTATAGCCACCCCCAGTCCCCACCATTCTGTAAAGGGCAAATCGAGCCAACGGATGCGAGCGGATGCGAGTCGAGCAAAATCGGTGACTCATTTTGTAACTAGGGGTCAGCTTGGACTGCCATTTTGTAACAAAAACCTTCCTCGGTGAACGTTGGGTTCTGCCAACTTGTAAGAAGGGCACCTTGGGGACGCCGTTCTGTAGCTACAAAATGGGGCTCCCAACCCCTCGGGTCCAATCTGAACGGGGATTACGGTTATATTAATAGCCCATTGATGCCCATTGTATATTATATAATATTATATGCATTACACAGTATGTTACACAGTATGTTTGTCGCCGTTACAACCCCTTGGATCCCCAGTATTATTTTCATCATTTTCATGATTGGTATCCCCATTAATATGCATGCATATCCCAGTGCATCAGCATTTTCTCTTGGATAAATGATGTTAGACCCCTATTAACATTTCAATCCCCTGGTATTGATGGGTACATCCTCTATGTATTGATGGTGAATGGTGAACCCCTCATTTATTCTTAATTAGATTCCCATTGATGCCACTTATTGATTGGTAGATCCCCATTAGTCACTACAGCACATACCATCACAAATATATGATTTTTATTGTATGTATCTGTATAAATTAGAATGACCTCACTGTGATGTCCCTGGAATCATGGTTAGTGACGGGAATCATACCCAAATGGAGTTTTTGTAAGTCAGCCAACGTACATGTATATATATATATATACATACATACATACATATATATATACATATATATACATAAATATATATATATATACACCACAAATAAAACGTTAGTAAATAGTTCATCCTACACTGTTATTGCCTCGATCATAATGTGCCATTATATCCCATTATTTATACATATAGAGATCCTCCTCCTCATCATCATCATCGTCATCGTCATCGTCATCAACATCAACATCAACAGCAACAACAAGAGACCGTGATTTACCATTGCATCTTAATCCCCCTCAATATCCTTATAAATCGTTCAGTCTCCAGAAATACACCCCCCAAGTTAGTATGATTCTGCCTACTAAAACTATTGCTAGCAGTAGTGCGTCCCACCACTATATATTATCATGCTTAGCTTCATAAAATAGATTAATATTGTAGAAATCACCAGTCATGTCCCTTTATACACCATTTATTGGTGGTTAAGTGGTTAAGTCCCCATTGAACCCCATGAATATCATAATGAGTATTTCATGATATATTATTATACTACAGTAATGAGACTCATGCTAAATCTTCGTGTATAGGAGGTTGAACCTCCATTTAACTCGGAATTTCCATCTCCTAGTATTGATTAGCAAGCCCCGATTCGTTCTTAGTTAAACTCCCATTGATACCATTTATTGACGGTACATCCCCATTAACCCTTGCATACCATCATATAGCATAGTATACATATATATATATGATATATCTATATATATATAAGATATATCAATAAATATATATATATATCATATAAATATGATAATTTACATATATAATGTATTATAATGTTATACTGTTATACATATACTTATACTTCTTTGTATATACATACATACATTGTATATATATATATATATAATTATATATATACATCATGTACCATTGCATGGTTTTTACAATGAAATTCCTCACATCTCTGAATCCATCGGCTCGCCAGGTTGCCACCTCCCTCCCTGGGCGTTGCTCCCTGCGCCACCGACTGGGCACAGACGGTGCAACGCAGCTTTGCGGAGCCGGAGCCGTACGCGACACGGCGACGAAGGGGGTTGCGAAGCAGCCGACTATGGGTAAATGAGGGCCATGTATATATGTATATATATATATATACATATATATATAGCACAGTATACATATATATATAGCACAGTATACATATATATATAATATATATGTTGGCCAATTTATCCCCCTTGTACCAGGGGTGTTGGGAGCAACGTTGAAAACTGTGATTTATATAATCAACAAATAAGCTCAAGCCGTCTCCCCAACAGCTCTGGTGATAGGAAAGTGTGACAGCAGCCAGAGGACACGTATCAAGTTTCCACGCCGGAATCTCCGGAACACGCTCCGGAACTAGAAGCCACACCAATTTTTTTTTGGCTGAGACCGAGACCCACAAGCTAACGCTGTTGGGGGAAATCAGATTTGGACAACAAAGGTTTGACCAACAAACGTCCAGAAATTCGGTGCATATATCGATGATCAGTTTTTGTTGGTTTTAAGTTTTTAAGGGAGCAGCAAAACCCTATATGCGAATAGAGTGTAGGCTACGGACCATTGTATATTATCACATAATTCGACACTCTAGGATCCAGTACCAAAGGGGCACTTCAAACTGGCCTCTTTGGCTCAAGACCCACTGCAGCACCAGAACAAAGAACTGCCATGCGGAAGCTGTTGCCCGTGTAACGTCATCATTGGAGCATTCATTGCAAACACAACCACTGGAACATAATCGGGTAAGCAATCCCCGGTTCGCAGGTTATCAGCCGTAGGACTCCTACGGAGCCTACGAGCGGGGAGCCGCGGGCCTTACAGATGACTGAACAGGATAGCAGCGATAATGCATTTTCTTTCTCTGGACGTGCCGTTGCACCAGCTGCCGGCACGCAGTCAAATTCTTCACAGAGTATAGACACTGGTGGAAGCGATGCCTCAGAACTGAGAACAAGCCAACCCAGGCGACATCTGGTTGCTCCTAGAGGGAGACAAATTTCGACAATGCAAGCAATTGAAGATAGGGACAGCACACCTGGAAAGAGAAGATCATCTGCACGACAATTGTCGCCTCCGATGACTCCAAGGACTAAGGCAAAGACTACGTCGTCGAATCCGCCTTCACCGATTCAGGACGCTACTCCATCAGGGACAGGATCTTATCAGCAAGTGAACGCCCCGTCAAGTGGTAGCGACATCTTCACTGCCTATCAGAGTGAGTTAGCAGAATACAAGACATCACTGGAGAGGGCCACTGAAGAAGAATCCGTACTTCAGGCAAGATTGAGCGAGACGACAGCATATGCCTATCAACAATTTAATTTCCTGGAAAGCACCACTCATCAAGAGATGATGTCGATGACCGAACAACTCCAGATGCTGAACTTCGAGTTACAGGCTGCACAACAGGAAGATGAAGGTGCGACCTACAGGATCGAAGAGTTGGAAAGATATCAGACTATGTCGAATGAAGCCGCATCTCATTTGAAATTCAAATATTCACGACTACGTTCGGAATTCGATGAACAAATGGGACAAGCAAACGCAATTATGGTACATGTGGGAACTGACGCGAATGCTCACATCAATCAACTCAGACTGGAACTGGAAAACGCAGAGATGAATGCCAAGCAAGAAGCTCTAGCAGTCGGCTATGCTAATGACCAAACATGTGCTTTGCAGATCGAGATGCTCGAGGTTGCCAATCAGAACCAGACGATGAACCACACCATGGCCATGAATGTCGGGCGACTGGAAACTGAGTTAGATGCTGCTGACATGAAGAGGGACGAGATCATGAAGGAGTTCCGTAGTAACATAAGATCTGAACATGACCGTTATGCAGAATGTGAACATCACTTAGCTTTGGAAGAATCACAGCTTCGATTACAGGTGATCCACAGTGAGAACTTACAATCTCGACTAGCGATTTCTGAGAACAGGGTTTCTGAAGAATCTCTAGCTGAATCAGGCGGCATGCGGGACATGAGGATAATGGGACTACGTTCTGAACTACACATGAAACAAAGTCTTTTAGATCGAATGCAACAGCAACTGACTGAATCGAAGAATCAGTATCATGAACTTTCCTGTCAACAAGCCAGAAGATCTTCACCAAGCAGATCACCGCATGGAGGACCTATATACGAGATGTACATGCAAGCCGTGCGTGAACGTGACAGCTTGAAAGAATCCAAGGCCGAAGTTGACAAGTTGTACTTGCAGAATAGATCTGAACTCATTGACACTGAGGACCTGCTCAAAGTCTTCCAGCGAAACTTTGATGAAACTGGTAAGAAATATCAAGATGCTCTGAACAAGATCGATCACATGAGCAACAATCCGAATGTGACGAGTACCTTGTTTGACAGTTTGCACAATGAACTCAATGACAGGGATACAGCTATTGCTCGCCTTCATACTGAACTTGAAGCCCAAAAGGACTCTCTTGAGCGTGCTCACAGGGATGCAGGTAAGTCCATCAAGATGTTGAACGACAGAAGACTCGTGATCAAAGGTGCGACTGACTATTCCATTCCCGAAAGCCACTTGACTGAGATGCATCAATTGGCCAATGAGCGTTACGCTGAGGTAGAAGAAATGACGAGTACCATTGCAGCCCTGAAATTGGAAAACCAAGCTCATTCTTCTTCATCAAAGAATAGACCGACTACGTTACATGGGTACCCCAGTAATGCTATGCCTCGGAATGAATGTGAAGAGAAGTGTGCTAAACTGAAAGCAGAGTTGGACGAGATGAAGCAAGAGAAGAACAATGAAGTTCGAAATCTTCAAGATGAGTTGAAGAAGATGGAAGATCGGAAAAATTACTACAAGAACAATTTCTCTCAAGCTGAAGATCGTGCCAATGATGAAGAGCAGGAATACCGAGCAGAAGCTGAAGCCTTCGAGAAGCTCAGGAACGAGTACAACACCAATGTCAGGGAGTTGGAGAACCTTGAAAGGGATAGATCCAAGTCATCCGTATCTCTAAGAGAAGCCGAAAAGATCAGCCTCCAACCCTGGCCTAAGACCACTGAACTTTCATCCTGGAAGGGAAGTGTCGTTCATGAAGTTTGCGTTGCAAGTGGAGATCGAAACTATGAAGATTGGAAAGCGTGGCTTGCTCCGTGTCTTGCAGATCAACCTGACTTGGAGACGCTGGCCAAAGCTCCTGATGTAAGATTCCAATCCATTGATGCCAAGCTCTCCAATGCCTTGAGGAAAGTCATTGACAATGCTGGGGACAAGTCCATGCAAGTGAAGTATGACATGTCCATGAAGAACCAATTGTATGGGAGAAGTGGGGACTTCATCAAGGGACGAGAACTATTTGCAATGATATTGATTAGCTTCAAGTCACCTGACCACACTGAAGTTCTCTACAATGCCCATCATTTATATATGTTCAACTACTATGGAGACGATCAACTTGAGGCATTCTACAACAAGTGGCTTGACATCGTATACAATATGAAACATGATGATCTGCCTTCCAACAATTCCCTGCGTGACACATTGTTCCGGAAGATTGAACATTCAAAACTTATGGCCTTCGATATCAACCGATACAAAACCTTTGATGAAGGGCATCATGAGAAGACCTATGCTTACCTAACTGGTATGATCAAGGGATACATAGCACGAGGGAAGCAAGAACGACTGTTGAAAGATAGAGAACGTGCAGTGAAACTGTCATTGTCCTCTAACAAGACGACACCTGCCTTAGAAGATGCAGACAAGCCTGCCGCTCCCGTCAAGACCAAGAAGGAGAATGAAGCGGCTGCATCGTCTACAGGTGATCCTCCCAAACGTCCTAAGGCGAAAGCGAAGAGTGAAGCTGCATCGGTACTTCCTACACCTTCTCCGAAATCCCATGCTGACAAGAACAACAAGAAAGGCAAAGGTGGGAAGGGAAGATCATCTTCACCCGTTGACAAGAAGAAGATTTTCTGTAACTACTTCTTCAATAAAGGAGGATGCAACAAAGGTGACAAATGTCTTTACAGTCATTCTCAGAAGGTCTATGATGCCAAGATGAAAGGTAAGAAAGGCAGAAGCGGAAGTCGAGATTCATCAAGAGGGAAAGGTAGAGGAAGTTCATCTTCAGCTGGACCCAAAAAGAAGGTATGTTGGAATTGGCAAGAGGGTACCTGCAAGTTCGGAAGCAAATGTAAATTCCTGCATGCAGATAAATCGCCTTCAGCATCCTCAGAGAGAACCAGCAAGAAGACACCAAAGAAGAAGGCGACTCCCATTACCATTGATTCCTTCTTTGATAGCGACAATGAAGATTCTATGGATTATACCTCACCGAGGATAGCCAGCGCAAAGAAGTCTTCTGATGATCGCAGGATCTCATTTGATCTGGAACCTGAAGTGCACGAGATCGCCATTGAGGACTACCAGGAGGGACTACCCAAACGTATGTATCGTGACCCCAACAAGCAGTATGTCTTCTGGAAAGTCGATGATTTGACCGACGATCAGTCCAAGTCCGACAACACCCTCGGTTCAGTCCGAGCACGGGCAAAGGCTATCATCATGGACAGATGTGGACTCCATCGTTTTGTTGATGAAGTTAGAATCATTATTGGCCCCAAGTTCGACATGTTGATCAAACTGGACAATGGTCGTGATGACTTGATTTTTATTGAAGAGCTTGTTGAGCATGAAGTTGGAAACTCCCTCATGAAGTCCAAGAACATAATGTGCATTTCACTACCAGTGCAAGCCAAAGATCGTAGATTCATCCTGGATTCTGGCAGCGGACACGATCTGATTTCTGCAAGGAAAGCCGAAAGGATGAACTTGAAGCAGCGAACTTGTGATCCTATCATGTTCCACACAGCCAACGGTTCAACTGCTACTCAGACGGAAGCAGAGATTGACCTGGGAACCTTTGACGTGACCTCTCACGCCTATGTACTGGACGGCACTCCGTCCGTGATGTCTCTTGGGAAACGATGCATGGAAGAAGGATACTCCTTTGTATGGCCATCTGGTCAAATGCCTTTCATGATTACGA